CCCCATTCCTCGCATTCGGCGTCCTGGTCGACAGCCAGGACCTTGCGTGGTGCGACTCCAAACCATTCACCACCTAATAAAATAACCTTACCTTCTCGTCCCTTCGCCCGCCCTGGTTTGGTAAGGCAATTTTGTCTGCCTGGCGGAGGGGAAGTCACGCGCAGTCAATGGTTGTTCGGACCACGACCGGCACGGTTGTGTGTGTTCAGAGCCGCTATGGGTTTATGGAGGTGAAGGAGTGGGACGCTATGCATGTGCGTTAGGGGTAGTGGTTGAACTGAAGATGGTGGACTGAAGATTGAAACTGAAGATTGGTATACCTCAACAAATGATGTTAATCCCGATGATGATGATGTTGACGTTGAAAACTTATTGAGAATAAGATATAATTTTAGAATATGATATATTTTATATTTAATTAAGTTTACAATTTTGAATGATGTATATATGTAATTTTAACATTTTAATTTATGATTTAACTTTTATAATGTTCTTTTTCATATAATTATTCATTTTGTATTAAACCTTCATGTAAAATGCAGACAATAACTGTTAACTTTTTATAAAAAAGTTGTACTTATCCAGTTTTTGCAATTTTAGATGATTTAATGAAAAATCGTTTTGTCTCATATTATTAAGTGAATTACAATCAAGAAGAAAATGGAAAAAAAAACTTTGTAGCTGTTTTTGAGAAAATGCTTTTACTTTTTCGCTCTTACTAACTAAAAAGAGAAAGTATTGTAATCGTGCTCCGGTGTTTTCGACACAAGAACTCTTATCCGGGCTCAAGTAACTAAAAAGTGGATAAATCCAATTGCCTTAGAAAAAAATTCTCTAACACGTGATGTAGTCAAAATCCATATTTTGTGCGTTCTTGATACCGAAAAATTGACTGCAAAACGTCTGTCTGTCCGTCCGTCCGTCCGTCCGTCTGTGCACATCGCCAGCACATAAACCGTTCAACCAATTTTCTACAAAATTGATTTTTCCCAATCGTTCTGGCTGATGTTGCGGCTGCTGGAATTTAAAATAGAAATTTTAATTATGGGGGTACTTTACATGAAGCCCCTCGGACATTTTCAAAATAATGACTCCAAATTTTTTGTTTAAATTTTTTGGTTTGATTGTACGAAAAACGATTAAGAGAATCGTGCAAGTCTCATTTTCATTAAAATCCCCGATTTTCTGAAAATTACATAAATTCAAAATTTTTTCGGCGTCTTTCTACAACTATAATATTGAAGATTGAGTTTTTTTCTGAAAAAAAGAAACAACAACAAACAAACAAAAACTAACTGTTTCTTAATGACAGATCTTGAAATATGGTTATGTTAAACGTTTCAAAAATATGAATAGTTTTTGTGTAATTTTGCCTGAAATATAGGGAATTTTATTTTTTTTTCTAAAAAATTGCTCAAATTTTTTTAAAAATTTCCCCCACATATTTTATAAGGGATGGTAAAAAGTATGGTGCTAGTTCCATTTTCGGGTATCGCTCCGTTTTTCGAAAATTGCAAAAAAATTCAAAACTACAAAATTGAAGATAGATATTTTTGCCTTAGACAACATCTGTTCTAAAAAAGTAGCTCATTAAAAATGCCATGTACATTTGTTTGAAAAACAGGAGTTTTCCGCGAAATTTCTGCTTGAAATTAATGAAATATATACATGTGACCCACCTTCTACAGAAATGGATTTGAAGTATATGAAAATTAATTAATTTAATTTTAATCATATTTTACTACTGAAAATTCCAATATTAATTCTATTTTATTCTATTCTACAATTTATATTCTCAGTGGATTAATGTATTTCTTTCAAGCAACCCGCAAAGTTTAATTGAAATTTGCGCAACAAAACCGCAATAGAAATTTAACAAGCTTGTTGAACGTCGAGATGGTGGCGGTAATGAGAAACTCTATTATTAACTGCTACTAACTGCTCTATTTAGTCGAGCTTGTATTTACAAATGAGCCATTTAGAAAAGATTCGAAACATATTTGATACTCCATATTTTTTGTCCGTATTGCGAGGTAGAGAACATTCATATTTTCACTGAACGAAAGGTCACTTACCTATGGATATTTCAACATGTCACCAACAATACATTCCATATTATTGACTTACAAAATTTCAAAGAGCAATATTGTAGAACGTCGATTATCCGTTTTTTAAATGAAAAGTAGGTTCGCGTTTTGGGTAAACAGTTTGTGAGTTGAAATTTAAACAAGAGTTTCCCAAACTTAAGATTTTATTTTATATTTTTACATAATAAACACGTTACTTTTTCTCGGATATAGAACATTAAAGGGTTGATTTTAATATTTTAAATGTTTATATATTATGTGTTTAGACGCAGACACTTGTTTATAAAAGATTAACTGAAACACATTATTATAAACTTCAAAGTTTTATATTGTTGCGTTTCGTTTGAGGCGGTGTCAATGTATAATAGAGCTGTAATAAATTAAATTAACGTTAAAAATCGTAGAATTGTATATTGCAAATCGAATTAATTTAATTAGTTCGATGATTCGAATTAATTAATTAGTTATTTATCAACTGTGTATCATGTATTATGTCTAAACAAGTTGAAATCTGAATACAAATGAAAATAAGCGTTTTTGGCAAGAAATGATATTATTCGCCAAGAATTTCTGCTAAAAGAATTGCACATAGTTTTGACAACGCTACATTGGCAACAGTACATTGCTCACAACTGTATAATTTGCTGCGAATACTATAACAGTCAAATTTATTCCTGTTTGTTTCATTTGTCAAAGTAAGCAATTATTGCTGCTCCTGGCTATCGAAACGAATGCAGATATGCATCACAGACCTGTTTGAAATATGCGTTTATACTGATCTTCTCAACATTAGATTGGCTTTCTCATCGTCACACAGCAATAGATACTGGAACATTTGTAAGGAACGCGCACAGTCATAATTTTGCCCGAACTTATTCCCGGGTTTTGTCAGAAATCGACCCCGGGGTTGCGGCGTGGAAAGCGAGCACGCTAACCAACCAGCCACCGAGGGCAGGAAACAGACATACCCACTGCAAACTTTAGGTGTAGAAAAGGTTCCAAATATATTAAGTTTTGCCTCATATTATTCTATTAGGCTTTAGTACGATACTATCAAAATTCAAACGATTCATTTGAAATTCGAGGAGCCGTAGCATCAACCAGATGATCGGGAATTATACATTTTCGTGAAAATCCTGTGTACGGTGAAGGTACAATCAGGCGAACAGACGTTTCGCGAAAAAACGATTCGTTTTGTATTTCACACGCAATTTCATATGAATTTCCTGTTGAACCGTTGTAGGTGACTGAATAAAGATTGTATTTATTATATCTGTCGGTTTCTTCCCCCATTCAAAAATATTAGTTACGCCACTAAATAATGTTGATTCACTAATTTCAAGACGTATTCATGAATATTATTAATTAGGGACTGAATTCCATGTAAATTCATATTTGTACAGGTAGAAGATCCTGGCATCCAATAACTTTTTTAAAGTTTTCAATACATCCTAAATGAATTAAAAACCATTTTTGTTTTTACATATTTTAAAACATGTACAAAAACATGTACATATGTTTCCTATTACTACATATTTATTACATTTTTCATTATATTTTGACATATCTTTGCATCGAAACGGAAGATTTCAAATTTGAGTTTGTCTGAATATGTTCCATGAATCATCTTTCTGTGAAACAAAGCAAAGTTTTTTGCTTGTATGTCCTCCGTCGTGACATTGTCAAACTCTTATTCCTGCTTCACAGAATTTGCGTACACCGAATCAAAGATAAACAAATATTTGCCAAGCAGAAGTAATCGCAACCACGTGCTTGCTCATGTTTCATAGCGCCCACGCATCGCTCGATCAAAATCTGACTAACATTTCCGACAGCGCTTCGCTCTCATCGCACTTCCTTAATCTCGCCAAGAGACATACTTGTGCCAGGGTCGGGGAATTCGGAACGTCTTCTTCAAATCCCGCATGCTTAGGTCTAATGGAATAACTCATTTGGCGTGTAATGCGATCGATATGTAGTTCTTATTTCTGATAAATTAATTAAATCACAATGTTGGATTTAGATGGCTTTGTCACCTTACCCGGGGGTGGATTTAGGCATAGGCATCTGCTTTCGGCAGCAAAAATTGTGGTTTCGAATTCTGTCTTTAGAGCCTCTTCTTCGTCGCGTGCGAGTTTTCGTTTATCATTTTCTTAATTTGTATTCTATGAGTTTTTAATCAAAATTATTAAATACTACCAAATTAATTAAGTAATATGCATTTTTAATTATAATATGTTTATATATTTATATTTATAATATGAATACATTATTCATATTCATATTACACATTTTAGAAATAATGCATACTTAAATACATATAATTTTGATAATCTGTTTGAATATCTCTTATTTCGTTCATATATATGTCCAATTTTTAAACATAAATTATACTTCTTTTTATATAAAACATTTTTCTGGATTATGGAAAAAAATATCCGACTTTTTTCCGTTTCTAATATCAGTGGTAAAAATGAGAGAAATAATTGAAGATCGGAAATGTATATATCAAATTACGTTAAAAGTCGCCACATCTCGATCAGTTGCGATTTCACAGTGTCATTAGCATTCAGAGGATTCGTGTTATCTTCCACGGAATGCAGAACGTGCGGGGTCAATCGACTAGCGGTCTCCGCGAGAAAGTTTCGGATTTTTGTAGCAGCGGAGCCGAATCGTAGTGGAGGGCCGCTCGGGTCGTAAGCTTCGCCCATTAAAGTCGCTGGAAAAGGCAGGACAGGCGGGTCGTTGCGCAGAAATCGGAGGGTATGGGTTCGGCGACGCGAGCAGCCGTCGCGAAACGGAGCCCCGAGCCGGCCGACTAGCCACGAGGGGCGCCGTGCGAGTGTTGAAAGGGGAGAGTGAATACATACTTGCGGGTCCCTGGACGTCTCCTCGAAGGCAGTTATGCTAAAGCCGGTCACATGACGGCGACGGCGGAAGAGCGCGAGCGATCAGTCGCGACGGTACTCGCGCGCCGAACGCCGCCGCCGTCGTCGACGCCGAGGCCGACGCTGACGCCGACGCCGGTCGCACCATGCTCGCGGGCGCTCTGCTGGCCGTGGCCGCGGCGGCGCTGCTGGCCCCGGCGCCACTCGCCGCCCGAGGTAAGCACGCGCGCGCGGCCCCCGGGCCCCGGCCCCGGCCCACGCGCACGCCCCGCGACTCGCGCCCTGCGCCTCCTTCTGCGCCCACGCGCCGCACGGCCAACGCGACAGGGGCCTCGACGAATTAAACTGCGAAGCGAAAGTCACTGAGCAAGAAAATGTATGAATTTGATGCATGTAATATTTTCTGTTGTACGACTGTAACATTGCAGACTATGACACGTGTAAGACTGCAAGTGTTTTTTTTCTTGTAAGTAAAATTATTGTGAACTGAATACTTCATATTATGTGAATTTCGTCGTGCTATCTCTTGTATAATATTGTTATTGAATATATTGATAGCACATTCTTTTCTGGTGATGAAAACCATAATTAATGATTTGCGTAAAACGCCTAAACCACCACTGCGATTGTGGAGCAGAATGCTAGCAGTTTAATAAATAATATCAGTTCCATCAACTCTTTCTATGCTGAAGATGAAATGCTAATGAAATTTACGAGAATGAGTGCTGTATTTGAGATATTCTTGTGTTCTATTTTAATCATAGTATGTAAATTTTCCTAACTGCTGCAAAATCCCTTAAAATGTGTTCTCGAACGTGATACATTTTAATTTGTACATAAAATGGTGGTAAACCATGAATTATTTTTTTGTTTTAAAACTGATGAAAGTCTGTTATTTAGTTATATGACCGGATTCCCGTGTAAATGCATATTTTCTTTGTAAACTTGAAATTGGATTAAACCTTGACAGAAATTTGAATCATGAAAGGGATTTTAAAACTTTTTTTTTGCACAAAATTGCACGTTACGGGGGTTGCTGCACGCTATTGCACGTTTTAGATAATGCTGCCAGATTATTGCACATTTTGGGATTTTACTAGATGAATTAGCAAGATTCGTAGTTTTATTGCATAAAATACATTTTTATATTATCAATTTTTTAAAATTTATCTTTTTTAAAAGTTTCATTTAAGGAAACGGTTTTTATGACTTAACACAGCAGTGCATATGAGTGATCTGTGAAACCCCTAAAGCCGTTTAATATGTATCAATTCTGCATTTTGTTGTCCTATGAACTGAGAGTCCAGACCTTTCTTGACGCCTGTTGTCTAAAATTTATTGCAGCAGGGATACGCGTTGATATTACGAACTAGGGCCGCGACTCCTTGTTGCTCCCGCTCAGCCTTCCCTATATTCGGGGACTATCTTCCCAATCGAATCATATTTCCATTTTTTCAGTATTCGCTGAACTTACCAATACGAGACTACATTCGCCAATCACATTAAACCTTATAAACGGGACTTAGTGGCACCTGCATTGCGTTTCAAATTCATCGAATTTCTCGGAACAGATGTGTGTGTTTTGTGTGCGAATTATATTTAAAATGTCAAAGATGGTTTGCTTAAAGAATATGCCCAGCGAGGTACGAGAGAGAATTAACGCAGTTTAGTACCGCTTTTAGCTGCGTGCACACGTACATCTGAGTGAGACTCGGTGCACAAACAAGTGTATAACGAAGTTTTTTTCTGTATGAAACGTTGGTAGAAGATACAATAATTTCTCAAAAAATAATTTAAAAATATACATAATTGTAAATTATAATGAAAACAATTACTTCTTCTTTAACTTAATTATTTTTTATTTATATTTGTATTTTTCAATTTTGTATTTACTTTATGTATATTTTCATGCTAATTTAATTTTGTGTGCGAATAATATTCAAAATGTCAAAGATGGTTAGCCTAAGGATATGTTCAAACTAAATTATAATAAAAACCGTAAAATCATAATATTCCGTTCACCTTAAATATCACATTCGAAATATAAAATGAGTTGACAAGTGTATTAATGGGAGTTTTTTGGCTACATGACATCCTTTTGCAAAGTTTCGATTTTTTATTGGATATTTTTGCACGTTTTGGTGTTTGTACTCCACGAAAATCCGGTCATTAGTTTTAAGATTTAACATCAATTGAATAGCGTTCAAAAATCTGTTGTAACAGCAAATCTTATCTTGCAAAATGAGACAGATACGAATTCCTTGTTAATTCATACCAGGGTTCCCATGTCTTGTACGACGCGTACGTCACTCCCACCATCGCTCAATGTCAAGTTCTTGCACGCTCGGGTGTTCGTAAATGTTTTCTTATACTGACGGATTATTTTTGTATTTGCGATACCAATAAACTAATTCACTCTTTCGAACGTTGTGTTGTTGTACTTGTTCCTATTATGTTTATATTTTGTACTAATTTAACACACATTTGCGATGACATTTATAAAATAAATTGTAATAGCTTTTGAAGACCAATATTGTATTTTAAATAAAGAAATGCATTTCGAAATTCCGATTCATCCCTTTGCATTATTACGTTCTTGCACAGTTTCGTGAGACAAAAGTGTATTTCATTTGAATGAAAACATTAGACTCAATACACATACAACAAATTACTGTGAATGCGTGAATGAGTAATTGCTTCTGGGCGCCTTAACTCATGTATTGATGATTCCAGGCAGATCACTGCTTTAACGTTAATCCCGTATGTGTAATGCGCGTTTATCGCGAGAGGTGAAAGTCATCTTCCCCAGCTGAATGGTGAAATCTGGTGCCGACCTACACGTCGTCTCGCGGAGTTTTCTCCAACAAGGCATCTCCCACCAGCAGAGCACCTCCCCAGTTGGGACAAGCACTAAGCTTACGAATGGTCTCCCGGCATGACTAGTAGTGCTTTTCATAGGTTATTAGTCCAGTAAATGCAGTACATGTTAAATCCCGGAGGTGGCGGTTCTTCCCTTGCTAGTACGTATGTTCGGCGTCGACTTCCATGACGGCTTGCGGAGTTTCTCCCTCTCTAGTTATCTTCTCCAGGGGGAACCGCCCCTGCCGGACAAGCTCTAAGATACCGTCTGGTCTCCTGATATGGGATGGTGATGTAATGCGTGTGTAAATATAAGAGTGCGTGATTTGTTAGGGTTCTGTTACGAGAATTGCCTGATATTGAAATGATAAACAACTGGAAACAAATTATTAAAGCAGCCTGACACTAGAATTCTCTTGCAGACTGGTCGTATTTTATTTTTTCTATCACGAATGTTTTACTAGTAATATTTAGTTTCCAAGAATAGTTTCACTAGTAATGTTGCAGCCTTGACTTATCCCCTCATATTTTCTAATATTCATTCACGAAATTGTTTTGTTGCAGCTGTAATGATTAATGCTTTACAGAACGTAACACACTGGCCTCATTTTGTTCCACTGTGAGAACACTTGCCCCAGATATGCTCTTTGAATCCATTGTTTCATTCATTTCACATTTCCGACGTTCCCATCACCTATGGACTCGCCAGCACTTGCCTCTTTTCCCCGGTCTACCATTTTATTTAATACCACTTACTCATGATTCACTACGCTGGGAAATTTTTATTTTTTATTTGTTTTTTTGCAACATTTTGTTTTGTTTTGATTATTTTATATTTTTGTTAAGTTGGTAAATAAAGAAGTGTTTTATGCAATTTATGGAATATTTCTTCTACGAGGATATTGTATTTACCTAAACCTATTACACGGAGCATGGTCCCAACGATTCAGCTGTTAAAATTCAATTGTATTGTTTCTTTTTTAATTTATTCACTTAATCGAAATTAATTTTTATTTAGTTCTGCCGAAATATTTGCTGAATTTTGTATATGTTGTCATGGGCGAATAAATTAGTCTCATTTTTTCCTTTTCGGTGGAAAAGAGGTTTAAAAAGGCGACATCGCAACATGTTGAATTGAGAAGTAAAAAATGATTTTATTTTGCACAAAAATACAATATTTTTGAGCAAACGCAATTTAAAAAATGTGGCCTTTACAATTAAAAAACACTGAAGTCGATTTTCCTATCCGCGATTAGAGAAGTAAACTTCTCTTAAATAAGATTAAAAAAATTACTGCTTGACGTAACGAAATAAAATGAAAAATCCCGGAAAAATCCCTTCAAATCGGTGTTGATATTTTTAATATGTAAGCCATACCAAACTCTAAAGCCGTACATGCATTTTCTCCAATAATAATAATAAGACAATAATTCCTATTTAATGTTTGTATTAAGAATTTATATGTAAAATTGTAATGTAAACATGTAAAAGTATCTAAAAAATAATCACAACAAACACCCACAATCACTGTTGTGTCGCAGGGCGTTGACTAAATACTCAGGGGATCCAGTACAAGCGAAAAATAACGAGGTCTTTCTCCATCTATATTTTTCTCAAAATCAAAACACTTTTTTCGGTATCTGGTTGATAATTTTCTCAATAACCAAAGTAGTTTTAAACACTTCAATCCCATTAAATGAAGGTTTGAAGAAAAAAGTTTTCTCTTGCTGCTAGTAGTCATACCAGTCTAGATGTATGACAAATATGACAAAATAATACAGAAATTTAAAAAAAATGACTTGGACATCATCAAAAGAATTCGACAACTTCATTACGTATGCTAGCTGTTCTCATCAACTCTAAAGGTCAAAGTAGGTACAGCTAGAATATTTCTTGCACGGTGTAGTATGATTATGTTTTTGAGGACCCCATACAATATCCACTATTGAGTGAAGCACAATGGGACTTTTTAAAAATATGTAATGTTTCAAAAAAAGTTATCCAATTTTTTTTATTTTCCAAGGAAATCATCCATATTCCTGTACACCATTAACAGAATTATTAAATTTTCCTTGAACTACACTATTGAAGATAGATTTGTTCTTGATAAAATCTGTTCTTTAAAGACATCTTTAAATAAGGTCATGTACAATTTTTCAAAAATGTAAGTATTTGTGTGAAATATTGGTAATTTTAAACAAATTTTTTCACATAAACTCCTCCAAATTTTTCTTCACATTTTTCTCCAATAGAATAAAAGTTGCTTAAAAATGGTATACTTTCCATTTTTGAAAATTTATGTATTTTCCAAAATTGCAAAAAAAATTACATTGCAATATTGATGATAATGAATTTGA